CCCCATATGCAGATGGGGAAATGTGGTGGCAGGATGGAATCCAAAACCTCAGGACACTCTCCACAGAGTGTTTTCTTTAGACATCTTTATCTTGTTTGTGTGCCCCCAATATTTGAGTTTATGCCAAGAAATTTATACTATAGCAAGGTTACAAATGATTTTAATGTTTTGCCCTTAATTCGTATGTACCTTTTTTCTGAAAGGCTGTCAAATACTTCCTTATAATATTTCTTCTTCTGGAGAAATGCCGTAAATTACAGAATTCAGGTAGGAAGTTGCCTCTTTTGATCACCTAGTCCAATCCCATGCTCACTGAATTTACATCCCATGCAGTAAGGCCACCAGGGCATGCAAATCTGTGAGCAAGTGGTTACTGCAAAAGCATCATCAGTGCAAGATTGTCAGCTGGAATTTCCACATCCTTGTATCTCTGCTTCTGTGAAACTATTTTTTTTTCTTTTAATAGCACCTCTTAGATCAACAGAGTACATGAAGCCTCTGAAGCATCTTTTACACCAAAGGAGATTAAAAGGGATATGGTCAAACACCAGTGAGAATCAGTGATGTTTGTGTGGGAGATCAGAATGTAAACAAACTTCCCATTTGTATTAGAAAATCTTCAGAAATTTTCCAGAGACTGTTCAAGGCCTGTTTCACACTGTTGAAAAAAAATGGGTAATTGGAGCCTGGTAGACAGAAAGCATTTGCTTCTGTCTGTTTAAGCTTCTGTGGTGTGATGGGAGTAATTTGGTTTGCAGAGACAAATTCATAAATGAATTTCCATTATGGGACTCTTTATATATTATATCATTACTTTCTGTTTTAATCTCAGACACAGGTTAAAGTCATGTGCTAGCTTTTTGAGACAGTGAATCTTGCTATCATTTGTGGTGAAATGCATTTTGTAAGCACATAAAATGTCATTACACCAAAGCATCTTTTGCTCTTGGACCTTCTTAACTTACCTCCTCATTTGGATATGTGGTCATTTTTGCATTCAGGTGTTTCCTGGGATGCTCAGGGAGAAGTATGTTGCCAACAGAATTTGTTCAAATTTACTTTCACAGAAGCCTTTCTGGATTCACTATGTACCCTTGTGCTGTCCATGAGCCTGTTAAATCCAGCTTTTAGAATGTATTTAGTGGTTAAAATAATAGGATTTTTGACACTAAATATGCTTGTCAGGTGCAAATCTGGGACAAATCTGGGTTTGTGTTAAATGCTACTCCAGCCCACCCCAGAATGGCCACACACAGAACAGCCTGTTGCTGGTTTTCAGTAAGTGACCCCTGGGTTGGCACTGTGGGTTTACTGAGAGTGCAAAAAACTTCCCCAAAAGTGTCTGGGTCACTGTATCTTTCTTCTGCTCACATTTTAGTCTCCAGATGGGAAACTCTTACTGACTGCTGACAGGCAATGCCATGTGAACAACTCTGTGGTTACTTGAAATGCAGAAGCATCATTTGAGCCTGCAAAATCACTTGTGGGCTATTTATTTTTGCTGCTACAAATTGTGATTTGGTTTGTGTGTGAGAAATATTTATCAAAAAGGGTGAATTTTAAAAAATGTGTAGGCAGGGGGTTGTAAGTGTGTGTAACAGGTTTGGGGGTTTGTTGGGGCTTTTTTCAAGTAGTTCAGTGGGTAAGGAAGAGCTTCTGAGAAGCTTCTTCTAGGAGGTTGTGCATTCTCACCTCCAACCATTCCACCAATGGGCATTCCAAGCGTAATGATGGAGTTCTGGCTACTTAATTACTGTTAAAAATGATTGACTGCCTTTTCTACTGAGGGAATGTTTTGGTAATGGAAGGATTAGGATGATGCACTGAAGAAATCAAGATTTTTTTAATTTTTATTTTTTTAAATAATAGAACAAACTCTGCAAAGGTCTCTTTCTCTGGTATTGGTTTTTGTTTTTTTTTCTTTTGCACCTTCCTGCAGGAAGGCTGCTCTGATGAATGTGTTCAGCTCATGCATCTGCCAGCTTACAATGTGCAGGTTATTTTACTATTGTATTATATTATATTGTATTATCTTATATTATATAATATTATATTATTTTTCAACCTATTGCATAACTGTGCATTTCAGGAAAAAAATGCTTTTATCTAGCCTCTAGACTATTTTTAAAGACGTTGAGTCTATGAGATCATATTACTTCATAAATTAATTCTCTCTAAGTAATTTCCATCCCAGTGCCCAGTAACCAGATGATAATAAAGGATGATTTTAAAAAATACAGAAATCTGAGGCTTTTCCCTAGAGGCCAGAGTGAATAGAGGAGAGTTGTTGAAACTGTGGGCTGTCACAAGGGACAGTTTTCCTTGCATTTGGTTTATTGGATGACCAGATTTCATTGATGTAGCATAGACCCAGCTTCCTCACATGTCTGTGTCTATTATCCTCACTTATTTATGAAGGATATGGGAGAAAAAGCTTGGTGCAGGAACATTTTGTGGAATAGAAGAAGGAAAATAAGAACCTCAGGTTTTGCAGTGAAAGATTGCAGAAAATGCAGAAAAATTGGGTTGAAGAAGAGGGAAAGACACAAATTTGTGCCTGCAAAACAACTTTACTCTTTGTTTCTAGACCTCACTTCCAAACACTTAGCCACTAAAAGAAAAAGTAGTTTTTGAGTGTTTTAAAGAGTGGGATTACATTTAATAGAGAGAACACAGGTGATTATGAAATTAATTGGCACAGATGGAATAGATACCCGTTTTACTGGTTTACAAACTCCTCCCTGCCAAGTGGAAGTTGAGAGAGATTTTCCTCAAATTATTCACACCTGGAAAAGTTTTGCTGAACTAAACTAAAACTGTAGACAAACCTGCTTGAACTCTGGTTTCTTACTGCTTATCAACCCTTCCTGCAGTCATTTGGCTTCTGGATGAAATATTGAAGAAGGGTAAAAGAAATAATGTCACTGAAATCCTTATAAGCTATTGACAATTCCCAAGTTACTGCTTTGTAATCATACTCCAGTTTTACCCCCTGAGGTGCTAAAGACTGTGAAGATGAGGTTCTGCTCTGCTGATTTCATGATTCTTTTGTTCTCTAGTATTTCCGTAAGACTCTGTGTTAAATAACCTCCAGCTCTCCTATCAATATTTTTATTTTATTTATTTTCAGATAAATCTTTTTGGTCCCAGCTTTTGTAACTGTGACTTTTCAACAAAGCTGCTATAAACAGTCATTTACAGGTTCTGTTCCTGAGGCAGCTTTAAAAAAAATGTGTTGTATATATTTGCTCCTGCTCTAAATGTTAAATATCATTGCACAGAACGATGGGAACAGATGGGATGCTGCATAAGCTGTTTATCATATTACACATTTATCACTTTACACTAGTGAAGTGTACATGTGTTTGATTAATATTGACTTTTGATTTATTTGGAGGGCTCTATTTTTTGACAGCATTAGGGATTACATTGTAATCCTTACTGGCTTCCAAGCTTGAAATTTAATTCCAGTAAAAATAGAGTGGATACATTCCATAATTCTTAATTACTATTTTTTTTTTTCCCCGTGGAAAAGAATTACCTGTTTGAGGCTTTAATACTGGAAGGAATTCAGAAGTAAATGGATAATGCTGTTTGCTTCAGTATTTTAGACAGATTAAATTTAGATGCCATTGGTCCAGCTAAATAAATATCTCTTGGAATTAAATACCAGATGCTAAGGAGGTGTAAAATAAAGCAAACCAGCAAGAGTCCTATTTAAATCAATATTCTTTTATACCCTCCACCTACAGAATGAGAGAACTTCGTCTTTGCCTTCTCAACAGGTCTGGATGTTCAGCATGTGTTCCACCTACGTCACAATACATGGAACCAAAAAAGCATCTCCAAAAGCACCTTGAGCTCAGACACAGAGCACACAGCTTGTCCCGTAGGCTCCCAACTGCAGCACTGTATTGAAAAGATGGTTTACCAATTCACTGGCTCATTAACATGCATTTTGGCTTGGCTGAAGCCTAAAAAAAGGAAAGGTTTTCCTTCCGGACAATGGATGGAAAAATTATTTCAAGTTGGAGTGGGGCGGCCTGTGCAGTTTGTTCTGCTAAACGGCAATAATATTTAATGAGAGAATCTGCTCTAAACTGTAAATCCTTTCGAGTGTGAGATGCCCAGCCTGTCAGAATAAATAGAGAAGGCTAAAAACACTTACTTTGAAAATGACTGTTCATTTTGGAAGGCATTTGAGTGATCTCAGTGAAATATTACTGAGTCAGTGGAATTTTGGAGAGAGATCAACTTCCCAGCATGTATCCTGGCAGCAGCTCTTCCTCCATTCCTCAGTATCTTTTATGTTCAAATAGCACAGGCAGCACTTCAGTCTTACATGTTGTCATCATTCAAATTTCAGATAACTTTCAGTGACTCCTTATAGATTGAATAAATAAATAAATTACTTTTAGCCATGCTTGTTTACAGTTTTTATGCCTCTGCTTTCTTCTATGTCTATTAATTGATATCATGGAATGACGTATCCAGCAAAAAGGATGATTTAGCACTAGGAATTACTGAGAGAGTACTTTTTTTTTTTTTAATTATTATTTTTATTTTTTTCCCCTTAAGCTGAGTGTTGCAGTGCAGTTTGAAGTTTAATTGGCATGACCATAGTAGCTGCTTAGGGCTTCATGTATTTAACTCTCCTTTTCCTATGGACCTTCTTTGGGCCTTTTATGTCCCTGTTGCCTTTGCTTCCAGGACAGGAGATTCTTCCAGAAACTTGCTGAAGGAAAACTCTAATTGCTATAAATAAAATATGTAAAGGGCAGAATTTGGTTGAACTTATCTAGATGTGCATTTCCCAAAGGAGTAGCTTTGTTTTCTGGTCATCATGTCAGCTATGCACTGTTCCTTAAATACATGTTTTCATTAAAAGGCAATAACTAGAAATTCTGTTTCTACCTGTTCCTTCCACATTATGTTTATAAAAATTATTAAAAAAAAATTTTCTGCATTTTGGTCTAAAAGACTCCTTCCTTTCTGTGCAGGTTAATAATGAGAATGTAGTGAAAGTTGGCCACAGGCAGGTGGTGAACATGATTCGACAAGGGGGCAATCACCTCGTGCTGAAGGTTGTCACAGTAACCAGGAATCTTGATCCAGATGACACAGCAAGAAAGAAAGGTACATTTTTCTCTCTGCCTAATGGACTCTCCTGCTCTTCCTTCACAGAAAACCAAGTATGGGCATGAAATTGCTGTTTTCTAAATCCTGATTTATTAGACTTTGCTTCTAAAATTTGAAATGCCCTGTTCTTGTTTAATTTGGAGTGATTTAGTTCTGTTGGGTTAGACATTAACATGTGGCCAAAAGAGCAATATTCTCTCGTCATGCTTGCTGTTAAAGTTCATCTTCTGGGATTTTTCACAGATATATATGCTTGAGGATCTTGTAGTAAAATTTCTTGCAGTAGTGAGAGGGAAAAAACACTAAGAACCGATGATCTTTTGTTAATATCAAATGTACATGAGATGGGGTTATTTCAGCAGTGTGTTTCTCACCCACCCATTCAAAAAGCCACCACAAAAACTTCATCCCTAAAAAAAATAGGAAACAAAACCGGAATTTACACTTCACCTTAGATGTCCCTGAGTTTGGTTTACCAGCTATGCTGGCAAGTTATTAGGCCCTCATAATTATTATTAAGCAGGAAGGGTTGCTGCTGCTCACTGGTGTTCCATAAAGCAGCAGCACATTGCTGAAAGTTCCTGTTCCTTCCACAGTCCTGGGAGTTATTGCTCACACACACCTGGCTCTTCAACATAAGAGAAGAGCAGGTGAGGAGCTGGCACTCCAGGACTCCCTCCTGCTCTATGAAACGAAAGCTTGTGCTGGAAGTGTTTTTCACCTCCACTGTTTCATCATCATCATCATCATCATCATCATCATCATCATCATCATCATCATCATCATCATCATTCATAACAAAAGGAGTGAGACTAGCTTGTGGGGTGGAGGGGAAAGGCTGTATTAAACTAAATCATGTCCCAGCATGGTCCTGCATTATTTTTGGCTTGATGGAATTGCTGTTCACACATTTTAAACAAACTTTTTTGCCTCTGCCTTTTGGTATGTGTCATATTAACCTTAAATGTAGTGACAGAACAAGGGTCAGTGCTTTAAAACTGAAAGGCAGAAGGTTTAGACTAAATATTAATGGAAAATTCTTTACTGTGGGGGTGGTGAGGCCTGGCACAGGTTGCCCAGAGAAGCTGTGGCTGCCCCATCCCTGGAAGTTTCCAGGGCCAGGATGGATGGGACTTGGAGAAACCTGAGCATGGCAGAGGGATTGGAATGAGATTATTTTTTCTGACCACCAGAAATATTTGTTATCAGGATACTAAAGCACAGATTGTAGTTTCTGTGCTAGATTATTGCCTTGATATTTTAAGACCTTATATATTCTGAGGATCACTCATTTCCCTTAGAGTCACCTTAACAATTCAGATACATTTGAATGTTCTTTCCTGTATTTCTCAGATTGAACAGTTCCTCCAAAGATTAATTTAATCTGCCAGAGATTGGCTGGTGCCCAGGAGGTTTTTAGCCCTGCATATTTCTCAGAGGGGGCACTGCTGCTGTAAGATCCTTTCTCTAGAAAGTCCTTTTCCTGCTGGGAAACAGAAGTGCACAGTTATTTAGCTTTAAATGTTTCTATGTATCCTGTTACATAAAAGCTTGCGGATGTGTCAAGCAACCTACGCTAGAGCCAGAAACAGTGGAGAAATTCAGTCCATGAAAAGCATCTCAGGGCTTTTTCCTCCGCATGTAGGTATTTATTCTCGCCTTATTTCATGGAACTTATTCTTTTAAATGGATATGGAATAGTGGCTGTGAGCATAGGGCTTCCAGAGGGTGTGTTTTTGCTGACACTTGTGTGTTTTTCTGTTCCATGCACAGCCCCACCACCTCCTAAGCGAGCTCCAACCACTGCACTGACCCTGCGGTCTAAGTCCATGACCTCAGAGCTTGAAGAGCTTGGTAAGAAAGTGTTTTTTGGCAAGCATGCTGGCTTGGTGGAGATGTAAATATCTATCTATATGTCTCTATGTGAAATTGATGAAGGGTGCTGCACTGTGTACAGTGTCTAGAGCAGAGGAGGTTTTAAGAATGCTGCATCTTTGGAGAGTTCAAAATGTGCATGACTCGCATGAATGATTTTTGTGGAGACTTGTGCCTTTACTGCTGCGCAAGGGAATGTTGATACATTTTATGCATCATCTAAGTTTGGCACATCTACTGAAAAAAAACAACAAAACAAAACCAGAAAAAAAAAAACCAAAAAATTAAAACAAAAAACCCCAAAACAAAAAGAAAAAAACAAAACAAAACAAAACAAACCACAAAAAAAAAAACCAAAAAACAAAAAGAAGAAGAAAATAACGCTGTATCATGTTTTTTTAGCTTTGCTTTCTAAATTTTCAGTTAATCTAATATTGTTTTATTTTAAATTTCTGTGGCCTCTCATTAGTGGATAAAGGTAAGCTGCCAGAAGCTGTTGTTAAAAGCTGACAGTGTTAAAGCAGCTTCAATTTCAAATTGTTTCATTTGATCTGAGAAAGTGCATATTATGATATCACTTTGACTTCTGTGCATGATATAAACTTAATTCCTCTCACTATTGGTAATGAAAAATTATTAAGCATTCAATCTTTTGTTTGCTAATTTTGAGAAATGTGATTTTAGATTCCTTAACTTGATCATCCACATTCTAAATATGCATAATTCTTTAGGAATTTGTATTCATTTTCTAGAAATGAGGAAGGTAATTGTTCTTTTCTTCCTGGTTTTAATCTGTTGAGTCATTAAAAGGTAGAATTTCTGCAGCTAGACTAAGACATGGAAATAGGAATAAATAATATATAAAAAGAAAAAAGCCCAGTGCATATTTCTATGTGGCTATAACAGTAAAACAGTGTGTTTAGCAAGTGAGAAATGTGTATAAAACCAAACCACATCTCTCACTGCAGAGTAATGGATGATAATTATCCACACAATAAAACCATTTTTCCATGCAATTCTACAATGACTTAAATAATTAATTTTATAATCTTGGGTTTTTCCTGGCATGGACTCATCTGAAGGCCAACTGAAAGGAATCATACCCTTGTGGCCCCTTTTCTTCCCCTGTAAGTCAGTGTTTTCTGGGGCAGATGGACCCCATCCATCCTTTAGTGAGTCAAGTCACGTAACTCCAGTAGGAAGTCTCCCAGCAAAGTGGTGCTGAAGTGGGTAGTGCCTTCTGTATGGTCTAACAACCCAATGAAGACCAAAAAAAACACCCCAGTCTGATTATTTAGCTCCAGCAGGTCTCAGAAGATTTAGTTTTTATGCACAAGGAAGTTTAGGAGCTTAACTCAACGTATCAGCAACTTGTGAATGCTCCATCATTTTTCTTCCAAGATTAAAATGTAAAATACTATTTCTGGAGCACTCTTCCGGTCTGGGTGTTTTTCATTTTCTTTTCTTTCATGGAGTGCTGAGAGCTTGTAAAACTTTGCTGGTTTATCAACCACCTTTCCCAAGGGGACAGCAATTTTTAGGCACCATTTTTGCCCCTTTGTTATCCTCTTCTGCCAATTGCTTTCAAGATGAGGATATTCTATTTCTCTGACTTTTCAATCTTCCACAGGAGATACTGGTCTTAAAGCAGAAGCAGTACTTTCCTAGGGGAGAATAGCTTGTTAATAGTAATGTCCCCAGTGGAGATCATAATATTTTAGCTCTCCCACCACCCTGCTCAGGCTGTGGCCCTTGCTCTGCAGTTTGTCCTCACCAAGTGGCAGACACCACTGCAACTCCTTTAACAAGCAGCCATGCTTCCATTTTTAAGAACATTTCCCATTCATACCTTTATCCAGATAGGGCAGACATTGCAGTGGCAGGAGTTTTCTGTTCTGAGGAATAGTCCTGCAGCATATTCCACAGCAATTAGTAGAGCTTTCCTAGGAAAGCTGTAGTAGTGGCAGAAATTTTCTTTCTTCCTAAAAAAAAAGTCTGTAAATGCCACTTCTGTGACGCTGAACATTTGCCACCCTAGGAAACAATGTGACTGCTGTTCCAAAGAACATCTGTGGTCTACCTGTTTTCATATTTGTCCTGGAAAGGGCTGTTACCAGAAGGGACAAGAATTCTTAAATTGCACAGCAACTGAACAAGCTTCAATGGGGAAAATGTTCTCCCTATCATCAGTTAAAAGTTGTCTCCTGACATAAAACACAGCTTGTATGTGTGTATTTATCTATAACTTACATATTCCTCTATGTATTTGTGTATATATTGGACATCTGTGAGAGTTATGAGAACACCCACATTTTTATAGCCATTAAACTCTCTAACGAATGAGCATTTCTTTCATGCCATATATGTGCAAATCAAATAGGAAGTGCCTATAAATGATCACTGTGGATGTTCTCATCAATACCTATGTGTAACCCTTTTTCCTGAACTGGAGAAGCTTATGGTCTCAATAATGTCTTGTGACAAAGAATCCCACAGGCTAATCATGTGCTGTATACAGATGTATTTCCTTTTTATTGGTTTTAAGCGTGATACCTTTAATTTTATTGAATGTCCCTTGTTATGTAATAGAAGAAAAAGGTAAATAGAAACTCCCCATTTGTTTTCCCTTAGAGTGCATAGTTTTCTAATGTCTTCTAGCTAAGCTAAACATATTTTTTTTTAAAAAAAAGTATCCATCTCACATTCATTACAGTCACTTCCTTTGCCTGGCTCTGAACCCTACTTACAGTTTTATTGACATGTTTTGAGCTATTCTGTTCTTCATAATACAGAACAGACCATCTGAGCTGTTCTCTCTCAAATTAATTAATCCAAATGATGGCTGTGCGCTAATGATTCTTTTCCATTTCAAGCTGCAAAGATTTGGAAATGCCCGATTTTGTCATAGTTTGACAGCCCCGGTAGCAATAAGTTACCTCTATTACTGTTTTTAAAAAAGAGCTTAGAAAAAAAAAAAAAAATCTGCATGTATTCCTGATACCTGCAAGGGAGAAATTCCTCGTAGTTATCATAAACCCTGATAAACAGCTTGGCAAAAGCAGATTTTATCTACTCTGGTTTGAGAGATACCTGTTTAGTAGAGGTGAGCAGGGAGAAACTGACATTTTAGAGGGAAGGATAATGTTTGAGCTCAAAATGACAGACGAGGATTTAGCATATTAAAAATTACTTTCAGAATTGATTCACAGTTCATTCCCTTTCTGTTTCCAAGCTTCAGTACGGAAGAAGAAGGGTAAGGGGAAGCATTTTGTCTCTTGTTTAACCTGTTTCTCACCTTTCCATAGTGAAGGATAATAACAATGTTAATGTTGGCATATGGTCCAGTTTATTTTTTGGTGTCAAATGTACATTAATTATTGTATATGTTTTTTAATTATTTAGTTAATAAATTGCAAACACACTAAGAAACTCAGACAGAAGACCACATTCGAAAATATCCCCCACATTTCTTCCTTTTGTCTCCTTTCCTTCACCTTGCCTTTTTTTTCCTTCTCTGCACCTGACTCTCCTCCAACCCCTTCCATTTCATCTCCTCACAGTTCCTGTGCTGACTGGCAGTCACAGAGAGTTAGTGGCCAGTGACACCCCAGTGCAGTTCCACACTAGCGATCCCGCTTGTCTCCCGAACGGTGACACGTTCTCCCTTGCCCACACTGTGTCTGTCTCAGGAATCAGGGATCTTGCACACCACACCTGAGCTTCTCACCTGCAGAAATGCTGCTCTGTCCGGTAGAACATCTTCCACGCTGTCCTGTATGCATGGAGTGCCCTCCCTGGACTGATTCATGAGGCCACCCACCACCTTCTCCTTGAAATGTCTCCCAAAGACCCACCTTCCCTAGATCCCCACTGAGCAATCATCCCAGCACTGATGGCAAGGCAGGGGGGAAGGTAGAAATAGCAGTGCTATTTTAATAGTTTTCCTAAATGTATTTTTGTGTACAGAGAGTTTGTTTGTGTTGAGCTGTACTTTTTCCATGCTCCTGTACATCATTTTCTTCCCTAGATTGTGAGCTCTCCCGAGCAGGGGCTGTGTCATTTCCACGTTCTCATGGAGTCTGGCCCAAGGAAGAGTCTCCCACTTCCCTGAGCCCCTGGGTGGTAGCTGGTGAAAAACAGGCTGTGTCCTTCTCTTGGACGAGGTTCAGTGTCATGGAAAGCAAATCTAGGCTGTAGGCAGTGTCTTCTCTCAGCAGGGAAGCTTTTCCTTTTTGACGTTTAATAGGACAGAATTGTGTTATTTTGCACTCTTTATTCTCCTGCTCTTTCCTGACCTCCTTTCAGGTGGTTACCAGAGGTTTCAGCTAGGGATATTTGCAATTCTCCATTTGGAGAATATGGTAGAATAAACCACATTGCTACTGAAAAATGTTTTGGCAGCATATAAAAAAAATCTTTGTGGTGTTGTGTAGAGTCTTCTGTCAACCAAAATTTCAGTTTTCTGTGTCAGAGATGAGGGAGGCATTAAGATAAAAATAATGGCTTCTGTGGTTCTGTCTGACTGGTCTTGTTGGTTATTTCTGGAGATGGGTTCTAGTTCTTTGGGAGAGCAGAGGAAGGGAAGGAGGGACAGGACATAGGCTGTATATTTTGATATTCAGGATAGAAGATAGGGTGTTTGTGTCTAAAAAGGTGCTAAAGACCTTAGGTTTGGAGCAGTATGACATGGGCAGCTCCGTCATTTTACTGCAGTTACAAAGTATGAATTACTAAAATTTAACTTCATCTGTGCCACTGACTTTCTGCTTGCAGTAGTTGCCTCACTCAGAGGTAGCTTCCAACCTTGAAATGTGTGTGTGGAGGGTTCGTGTTTCCAAGCTACTTTCTGGATTTTGTGGGATACCTGGGATGGGGGAGAGGTGTTCTTCTTTCTTGTGCCTTGTAATTTTTCCAAGAACCGTTGTATAAGTTATGGCAACATGTAAACCAAGAGTTCTAGCAGTAACTTGTCGGAGGCAGCACTTAAAATATGATTCCATTAATACGGAAGAATAACCAGGATATTTGTGCAGCAAATTGAGGTTTGAAAATACTCTGAAAATGAAAGATTAAGGGAAAAATTTGAGGTCATAATTTTCATCATCACGACAGGAAAATAGGTGTCATTAGAGCTTCAAAATTAATACTTTAAAACTTTAAATGCAACTCTGTTCATTGTAAGTTTATGCAGCTGGTGGAGAGCTTGGTTTTAAATGGCTTTTCCTTCAGATTTTGTTTTGACTTATGAATAACTCGATGTGGAGGGAGAATTTTAAAATTATATGATCCTTAAGGAATACATCCATAAGCTAAGATCTGTAAATGTCTAGATACATGATTTAAAACTTTCCTGCACCTCAGCTTTCTATGCTGCCAGGAAATTGGTTTGATTTAGTGAGTAATTTGGGATTTTCAGTGAAAGCTGAAGTGGATAGTGTTGAATTTTAAGATACCTAATATAAAATCCTCTAAGAGAAGGGAAAAAACGAAGAATAAAGCAGATTAAATTTCCACAGCGAAATGGGAGTGACAAGATAAATAATCCTTCTGCATTAATAAATAATCTGCTGGCAGTGTCACATGGGTGTCAGTTGTGAGCTGGGGTGGTGCTTTGTTTGTTCTTAGATTTGATATGGTAATCAATATAAAATATTGATATATACCATATACTGATAAAGTATGTGTGTTGGTCCTGGTCTTTGGGGTTTGATGTGGGCTGCAGTACCAACTACAAATAAAGGATTTTCTCCGTTGAAGGACTTAGATTCTATCACCACCTCACAGAATAATTGTGATATCATCAACACAGAATATTGTTACCTGGCATCAAGTCTGACCGGCATTTGAATAGAAAAATACCAGTTGATGGCATTCAAAATAAATATTATTAGCTCTGTCTGCAATAAGCATTCCCACTTCATCCCATTCCTGTTGTCCATTGTTTCAAAGGTGGCACCTTCCAATGGCATCTGAAACAATGAAATTGCAGAGCAAATATATATAAATGAATGCCAAGCAGTGGATTAGCTCTCAGTGTTCTGTTCTCTTTGAAGAGACCACTTTCAAAGCCATCTGGGTTCACTTTTTTTTATTTCACTGTGGTGGAGTTGATGATGGAGATTTGTCTGCAGGGAGAAATGGGAATACCACCAAAGCAACTCTTAAAGCACTCACCACGGCAGCTCCTGAGATAGCTCCCAGCATCCGCAGCACTTCTCTGTAGGAAGGTTTTCAGATCTTCACCAGACACTATTTCAGAAGATGAGAGCAGAAGGCATCAGGCTTCATGAAGAATTCTTGAAGGTTATCCCTTGTAAGTAATTGATTCACATTACCTATTTGAAATTCTAATGAGGTGGCAGCGTAGTAATGAGGAAGAGGTTGTCATCGGGTTGTCATTTATCTCAAGCAGAAAGCAGTGACTCTGGGTGGAATTTGTCAAGTCGGTGTGAAGAAATGCCAGCCCCACTTGTGGCTGGTGCAGCAAGGTTGGAGATTTTATGTCTTGTAGTGTAACCTGGGGGAGTCCACAGCAGTGTAAGTGTAGGACTAGGACTGTGGCTACAATCAAAGTACTTGTAAAATACTTTGTGAGAGAAAAGTATTGAAAATTGGTATGTTTCAAAAAGGGAACAATGCTAAACCTGTGTTTTTCCATGAAAAATAACTTGACAATGTGCTGATTAGCAGCTTGTGTCACAGAATCCAAACTTAACAGGTAACTCCTGGCACTAAAGACTTCTTCAGACCAGGACTTAACTTTTATGAGACGTTTTAACATTTTTGAAACACTGGGAATCCTGAGTACAGTCTGCTTGAGTCTGTGTGGGTGTTGTCATCTACACTGTTATTATTTTGAATTTATCAGCTTATTCTCAAGGAGGTAGCGCCCTGTCATGATACTTGTTTTTCTTTACTACAGGACTGTAATTGAAAAGGTTTCCAAAACCTTTCTGCATCAGCTAAACAAGACAATGGTATAAAAGAAGTTGGAATTGTAAGTGTTACAGAAAATGTGGGGTTTATAGCATTTGCAGAGACACATTAAATACGTTGGTTTATGTGAGTGTGACTATGCTCAGATATTATCAATTTAATATCTAAGCACATATTCAAAATCATGAGGGCTTGAGGAACAGTTAAAATTGCATGTGTTTCCCAACATAGCACAGTTAGGGCAGTGGAAAACTCTTTCAGCACTTTTAATGTGTTCTCTCTCTTTTTCAGGAGCCAGGGAGATGAAGGACTTATCTCCCTCATCTCAAAACTCCTTTTGCTGCTATTTTTTTTTTTCCTATTTCCTTCAAATGTTCACATACCCATGTTAATTAATTTCTAATCTAATTAAAAATAAATGTTTTTAGATAATTCCTCATAGTTTGTTTGGTTTTTCCCCTTGGTGTGAAAGCGTGAGAGTTAAATGTAAGACCAGAGAAGGCTGCAAGTGTCTTAGATCCTCCACTTTCTTTTTGGTTTCTTTGATTTGATTGCCTTTCTTTTGTGACTAGGCCAAATTTTCAAATGCTGTCTCTTAAACAGAACATCAAATTGCCACTTAAATTCCACCTGGCTTGCAGGATAGGAGTGGGTATTGACTATATTCTCTGCTTTGTTTTTGTTCTTGAACAGAAACCACTGTTAGACAATGACCATTCCTCTTTCAAGGTAGGCTGAATTGCAAGGCTTCAGCATTGCAGGTGTATTCTAAATGCCTGTATCATTATTTCTTAATAATGAACATGCTGTTAAAGAGCTGGTACTTGAAAATTGTATCTCTAGAAAGGAATTTGAATTTTCTGCCTTCCTTAAAAATTACTTTTGATGGTGTGGTTATAATGTGTAAATGTGACTTGTGTGTAATAATGTGAAGCTATTTTCAGCCCTAGAAACACAAATAAGGCTTTCCTTCAAGAAAGTTTTGATAGCTCTTTATTATGAATGCCTACAAAGCATTTTCATAAATCATGTAACGGTATTTCTAGATACTCAATGTTAAATGATTAATTTTAGTTACTCAAGTTTTTATGTTTTAATGATTTATTTTATATATTTTTATTATTTTATTTTATTTTATAGTACTTTGTAGATTTTACAGTATCTCAGAGAACAGACAAGTATTTTTAGTTAATTTTCATAGAAGGAAAGTGTTTCAAGTGCCTTTTGTGTTTGACTACTGCAAAGTGCTTTTATTATTTCCTCATTACGCTGACTGCTAAAATAATATTCTCTGCCTGTTGTTTGCAGTATGGTAAA